ACGATTTCATCTGACCCTTCAGTTCGGTCCCAGACGTCACCGTGCCCAGGTCTCACCAGCCTCAGGCTCCCCAGGGCTGGCTGGCAAGACACGCGACACCGCACTCAGCACTTACTCGAAGACATCGTCTCGTGTGTTCCTTTTACTGTGTTGTACTCATCCGTAATAAAAAGCAAGCCGTTTAACCACTATCATTGCCCAATCAGTCATAGCCATTGTACTAAGGTTCTGTACCTCTTACAAAATAAATAAAAAGATATCATAATATATAAATATGCACACTATATATATATATATATATATATATATATATATATATATATATATATATATACATATATACGCATATATATATACGCATATATGTATATATACATATATTTATATGTGTGTGTGTGTGTGTGTGTGTGTGTGTGTGTGTGTGTGTGTGTGTGTGTGTGTGTGTGTGCGTGTGCGTGTGCGTGTGCGTGTGAGTGTGCGTGTGCGTGTGCGTGTGCGTGTGCGTGCGTGTGCGTGTGCGTGTGCGTGCATGTGTGAATACATGTCTATACATAGAATATATATATATATATATATATATATATATATATATATATATATATATATACAATGCATATATATATACAATACATATATATATATACATATATATATACATATATATATACAATATATATATACAATATATATATATTAAATAAGTAGACACACAGACAGATATATATATAGACAGATACACAGATTGATATACATATAGGTATACATATACACATATAAGCATACGTACTCTACAATTCAATTATACATGTATGTATAAATGGGAATGATAATAACGGTGGGCCATACGAATAGCCATAGAGCAGACTTTTATTAATTCCGGTCATAAGAGTCAAGCACCGTAGGAAATAACCGTACAGAATTTCCCTTGCTGTTATCTATGACACCATTACAGATGCTGAGCACGGGCGAGCCGGCGTGTAGCTCTCCAGACAAGGGCGCAGGGCCGTCACTGTGGTGCCGGCGAGTCTCAATAACACGCCTCGGAAAGTTCTTCTGCCTGTTCTTGCGGCCCCGACGGCATTCCGGCGACGCTCTGCACCCTTTGTTCTCGTCGGTGGACTCGGCGAAGATAGCACGGATGTTCTTGTAACGGTCTCGCTGGCCGTTACGGTGCCGTGATTCAAATGCACAAGTGTGTTACGTGGGGATCCAGCTGAATTGGAATGAGTAATGCATAACATCACCTGGACTGTTGTTTGGCTAATCATGCAAATCATTTCACGGTCTGCGTCGCTTTCGAATACCAGACTTTCATCCAATGACATTTTCATTCTCGTCAGGTAATAACAATAAAAGCGAGGCCTCAGTGCAAATGAATACCCCTCGTTAGCAACCAAAGCCCGAAAGAGTTAGCGGTTCATGAGGTTAATCCCCGGGTAGGATTCCCCGCACAAAATGGAAACAAAAAATATCCAATAAATGGTGGACATCGCTGGCTAATAACTAGACAGGTGATAACGAGCATGAGACATAGACCCTGATATAGTAAACCATGTTGAGAATTTGTTCCGTTCAGAGAAGTTTATGGTATGGCATGAACATGGCGATCGTTACACAGCAAATTAAAACAGTTGTTATCACACAAAACTCAGAAAATGGGATCATTTCTCTTTTTTCTTTTAAGCTGATACTCTCTTGCAGGTGGCGCCGTTGTGTTTGGGACCAGGGAGGCGGGGAAGGAGAGGGGGACGGGGGGGGGATGAAACGTGCCCGGACAGGACAAACAAACACGTTTTACTCGTTGAGTGTTTACTGGCACGGGCCGGTAACACATGGTACATCTTTGACATGTCGGCATTAGCTCCGAGGAAGCCAGGGTCCTCAGGTTACGACCCTCTGCGCCACGCGCCGTCTGTTACCTTTTATTATTTATTTAAGCGATTTACAGCCAACGTTCATATTATGAAACTCATTGTAAATTGATGAATATCGTACAACTTTATCAACATTTTCTCTTTCTTTTTAACGCCTTTACCTCGTACCATGTCTTTCTTGCCTGTCACACTCACCCTTTAATTATTCTTCCTCTTACACCATCCTTCTTCAATATCCTCTTCACCTTGTATCTGCCAGGGCTCTCCTCCCCCGCCCTCCCTTTATCCGACCAGCCTGAAACACCTCTTTCATGCCACTTCCTCCTATCACTCCCTCTCCTTCCTACCGCCACCACCAACGCAGAGTGCATGTGTATCTCTGCGGGCTACATCTATCGCACCTCCTCCACGCCACTTGCTCGAGCCGACCCACGCGCCTCCACGCCTCCTCCATGCTACACTTTCGTCCCTACCCATCAACCTCCGCCCTGTCCACCCACGCACCCACACGCCCACACTTCGCAACGGTCTCGATAATGATACCTTGGTAGAAGCGAGCATCCCTCGGAGACCATCATGGTTCCGCACGAAACGTAAGTCTAATTGCAGGCCACAGTGTTGAAGAAAGTGTACTGAAAACGGCCACTGACGCCAATGAACCCACACGTTCTCTGCATGCAAGGGAAGTAATGTCTCCCCCTTCTTGTTCTGCAGATGATAAGCGGTTGATGCACTTTAATTGATATAATTAGCCGAACTGATATAATTCTTTGAAGGTGAGCGCCACCAGTTCCACCATAAGGGACAGACACACAGCATCCAAATGGTATGTAATAAATCCTAATTTTGGAAAGGAGGCTGCAATCAGCGGACTGCAAGTGATCATGCTGAGTCACTACATTCAAACTCCTCAGTTCACACAACAGTCGAGAACCTCAAAACGGGTTGCAGGTTGAGGAAGCTAAAGTAGGGTCAAAAGTCGCAACCTGGGAATGCAAAGGCTGTGCAATATACTTTGGCAAACACTGTTTAACAAATATATTTAACGACGCGACCGAGAGGTTGCGCTGAGTGAATGACAGGGTCTGTTAAGTGAGTGTATATGCATAAATAAAGGTCCTATTATAATTCAAGTAAAAGTAATCCACTCCACATGAGTCTTACAGCAAACAAACTCAGTTTCGATATACAAACATACAATCCTCGAGAGGTAGCACACCTACAACGTAAAGACTTGTTTACAACATGCTTATCCTTCATCCAATTTCATTCAGGCCCTTGAAGAACGCTGGCCAGAAAGAACTTTATCATTCAAGCACGTATTCATATTTCAACTCGTAAATTTATCTCATGTACTGTGCATAAGGAAACATAATACATTAACTTTTTTTCAAAGATGGTAAAACGGATACTTAGGTAATTACCGACTTCTTTACACTGGCAAATCTTCTTATTCTATGGTATTTTAAATACTTTTACACTTTGCACTATCAACCTGTCAAGATATTTGCAAAAATGTTGTCTAAATATTACCATAATGAATTTAAGCTTTTACATTTATTCTCTTTTCAGTATACACGCTAAGGAAATAACTTATCAGCTGTTGACATTGTAAAGCTGTAAAGCTCTCCATCTGCCGCACATTAAATATACACAGTCTGAGACGTCCAGACCTTCCTCAATGGAGAGCGCCGAGAGGCGACTTGATTAATATATTACCAATTAAATCCTAATTAATAACACATATTGATAATAATCGCGAACTTATACAAAATTCGATCATGTGAAGGAGCGAATTATCTACATTTTTTTATTCTTATCCAGTCACTTTCCTTGACTCTCCTTACCCAGCCTCACCACACCTCCAGGTACCGTGGGCACCGACCACTGACACAACAGCCAACATCTGCCAATACAATTACAATTTGATTCTGTCTACAGATCAGGGGCTAAACGGTAGACAGCTTGAAAAGAATGGGGGCTGAATGAGATCGCGGGCACATACACGCGCGCGCGCACACGCACGCACGCACACACACACACATATACACATACACGCACACGCACATGCACATGCACACGCATATGCACATGTATACACACACACACAGATCTGATGCTCTTACTTTCTCTTAATAACTTCCTGTGTCAAATAATACAACAATTTTTTTTTCTTTTTACTTTTTGTTGATTTAGTCGTGGTCATAATTACAGTTTCTTTCACGTGCCAGCGTCATTTCCTCGAGCTGTATTATTTCAGCACATTTTCTAGTTTCCCTTTCCCTTGTTTTCTCGCTGTGTTCTCTTTCTCTATCTTTCTCTTCTCTTTCACTCTTTCGGGGCCATTGCCCCGCGAGACGCGGGTTGGCGTGGGCAAACCCCGTTATAGTGATCTTTCCACGCTTTCCTTTGACCTGGCGACTGATATCGAGGCTTTGCCATAAATCATGCACACAATGAACACTAGCTTTGTTCAGCAGAATTTATTCTGGTTTATTTTCATCCGGAGGCCTTTAGACGCGTAGCACAAATATACATTCAGTTTTTATAAAACTAAACTATAATACATTTCAAAACTTTCCCCAAGTACAAAAGAAGCTTCAGGCCAGCTTCACACCGTTTCATTATTTCCTTTATAAAGCTAGTTAACTTTTCCGAATATTTATCCTCTATTCGAGCCTTTCGTCTGGCGCGCCGGGGCTCGCTTCCGACCTGGTCTCACAGGCGGCGGAAGGCCATCTGTCCACACGGAAGGTAAAAGGATACTGTCTCGCTCTGTCATAAAGTGATGCAAGGGATGATCATCGGCCCAGGACAGTACCCACGCAAAAGGGATTCCCCCTCTCTCAGACGGGGCGTTTCCTAATCAATAGTTTGTGTAGCGACCAGCTCCAGCCTACAACTCCCCCGTCCTGCAGGCCCAGAGCTCTGTCTGGCGCGCCAAAGCTCTTATTTCAAATAATGTATGCCCGATAGCCGGCAGAAAGCATCCTAAGCGGCATTTAAATCACAACGTACCTCCATTTTTAAAGGGCTTCTACCCGGCACCTAAGGACAATATAAAATATATAACAAATCGGATAACTATGATGCTACTTATAAAATGTCAAGTTTTAAGGTACTCACCAGTCAGTGCAGCATAGAAGAACAGAATCCAAAAATATTCTTTCCTTACACAAAACATGTTTAAAGATCCCATTGTACACGTGCTATGAAGCCGGAGTCGAAAGATCGAACACTCCCACCAGACTCTGAT